CTTTCTAACTACTTGGTAAAAGTAAGACATGAGGCCCGGCGTAAGCCGGGCGACCCGCTGGTTGGTTAATGTAATGAAGAAGCAACGTGAATAACCATTTCTGATGATGGCTTCTGACTTCATTTAGTCTGACTTCGTTGATTGGTATCATCAAGGTATCCGTTTCATTAATCAGGCTGTTCAGCTACAAAAAAGACGTTGTATGTTCAGGCCCATATTCAATTCGCTATATCGAAACTCCGTAATGTGAACGGGATTGTCACGCATATTTTACAGCAGTTACATTTTCTGTCGATATCGAGCTTATAACAAGAAGGAGCGCCTCAATCAAGGTCCACATGGTGATAATTGAGTTCAGAGGCTTTCCCTGTGGAACTTGGGTTATAAGAATTACTAAATGATAGCTTTTTGAAATTCGCATCTGTAGTGGTATTTTTCTATAGTTTCAACTGAGTTTTTCGGATTTAATCGTCGATTCATTCACTGAGGCACTGTTTGTAATAAGAACTTTTTTCCAAAATAGTGATAACACAGCTGTTTATTATTTTTATTATTATTTATTATTTTTGCTCAAGGTGAGGATCAGGGGAGAGTTCTCGCAAAGTTTGTCGCCTCATGAGAACGACTTAGGCTCAGATCAAAACCTAGAATGAGATAATTGAGAGCGTTTCGCTCGGAAACGGTATCTACCAGTCTGATGATCATTCGATCGATAGGAAAGTTTCAATTTGTTCCAAACAGACGCTTTCCTTGACTCCAATAGACTGGAATCTCGGAGACGCAGTATTGCTGTAATACTGCTTGACGCATAGCTAACAAAATAGAATTAGGCTTCACCTTATTCGCTTTTGTTCACAAGAATTTTTGTTGATTTTCTTGCCCTCCAGTAATGCTTATTTGATTTTCATTTCTATGTCTTCATGATCGGGCTCGGAATATTACAGCTCGAGAGTCGCAGCTAGCTTTTATGCTGGCTGTATTGACGGCCTGAGCTCCGATTAAATGAAAAAATTGGACCACCTATCAATGCAGTTATCAAGGACTTTGAAGCACAACGAGCAGTTCAAGTGCGTTGTCCTTATAGCGTTGTAGGAAGAATGAAGGCCATTTCTTCAATCGTATGCAACCAGTTGTTACGAATGCATCGTCTACATCCTAAGAATTCAAACAACTGCGATTTCTGATTGTAGTTATGTAGTTAAAAATATTTATTTTAAGAGAACTCTGAACGACAAAGTTTGAACGAAGGGAAGGAGTGCGCTTTCCACGGAATCTCAATAGTGGTCGTGACCTGGAAATTGCTGAATTTCTCTGAAGCTTCAATCTACAGTCACTAAGTAAACTGCAGCGCTGTATCCACTTGAAATTGATGGCACTCTTTGAAAACGATATGGCTGCTTATACAACGAAAAAAGCGAAAGCAATACCGTGATGATCGCCGTGGTGACCGAAGTCGTGGTCGAAATCGTGATGATCGTGGTCGTGATGGTGGCCATGAGGATGATGATGGTGGTCGAAACCATGATGGTGTCCATGGGGGTGATGATGATGGTGGTGGTGATGGTCATGGGGGTGGTGATGGTGATGGTGTCCATGGCCGTAATGATCGTCGTCGTGATCGTGTCCATGATGTCCATGGTCATGGTCGCCGTCGTCATACTCGAAACCGCCCTCGTGGTGCTCCTTGCCGTGGTGCCCTTTCCCATAGTCGTCGTCATACTCAGATCCTGGAAAATCCTCATGTTCTCATTCAGACATTGATATATGCTCACAGAATTACCGTAGTACGATCCATGCTCTTTGCCTTTGGCGTAACTTCCCCATCCGCCGTACTTGTGGCTGCCGTAATCGCCATAACCTCCCGTGTCAAAGCCTTTCGTATAACCAGTGCCATACTTGGAACCATGGTCGTGTCCATGATGGCCAGCGCCATATTCACCGTAGCCGTAGCCGTACTCTGAATGTGGGCTTACAGCCTGAAGAGTCGTAAGCTCGGTGGGATGCTGTCGATGAGGTTTTTTCTTACCGCTTGCCGAGACGGCATAAATCAAAGCAGCCAATGCGAAGATGGCAAGTGTGATCATCTTTGAAGTCTGATCACAGTGAATTGATCTTTTCGACTGGTGCTCAGCTTATATACTTCACTCTGTACGAAGAGTCAATACCATGGGTTGATTTTTCTAACCACTAGCAAGTTCTCGTTCAGCAAAACTTCATCTCAACTCCACAGGATTCCATTGTTCTACTTGCTTGCGAAGACTTTAGTGCCCATATCAAATGGGTGATTATCGCAGCAAAACTTTGAACAGGATTTCGGGACGCTTTGTTGCCAGAATTTCATTAACATGTAACTTTTCATAGTGTGGATGGAAAATCGAAACCCATTGTCGACATAACGCATACGCGCAAACAGATGTTCCCACCTCTACTTGCAGATACACGTGCTGCCGGCCAGTCGCGGATTTGATAACGGGCGATATGATCTGATTACAACCCTTAGAAGGCTGTAAGCGCAGAGTCTATTAAGCTTCAATGTTAGGAGAGAATCTTTCGCACTATGGTTGATGATGTGAATGGAACACGATTGAGTTGATAAGGAATGAAGAAGAGCGTAGAAAGAAGAACTACTAGAGAACTTGCTCTTTGACGAACCAATGCAGTCAATGTTGAATACGTTGCATGAAGCGTAACGGATTCTAAGGTGGAAGCAACAGTGACGAGAATTGATTAAAGCCGATACCAAATAGAAGGATAAAACATTTGGCATAAATTAATCTCGTGCTTGGGATGCGCCCACATTTCTATTCAGAATTGTACAGGGAGCGCCATAAATATGGTAACAGAATAAATGAGTTACATAAACCGCAGTTCATATTGATACATGGTGAATTTATGTGAGTTGTTTACTATATGTATAGCCGTCTGTACAAATTATACTTGGCTACTCATCGACGGTGGTACTCAGAGTTTCTTGCGAAACTCTAGCCCGGCTTTCTTCAGTAACCTCTTAGGAGCACAAGAGTGGATTTGAAGCGCAAACTTTTCTCTCCATATGGGCTATATCCAGCAATCCACCACACTGTGGTCCGGGAAATTCGTAGGAGAACTGGAAGCTGAGATAAAGTCGCGAACATTTCCTCAGCATCAATCTTGATCTTTTCCCATTCGTGAGCAAGTGCGCAGTAGTTTTTGAATCGTTTCTTTAAGGAGATCTTTGACACTCAGCTGCATCCTTCTCAGAGAAGTTCGGATTGCATTTTGTGCTTTTCTCCTCCAAAATTGGCGATGTCGTTTTGATGGTAGAAATTCCAGCTCAAACCATCACGAAAAATGGCTACGAGAGGCGATATGACTCTCCTCAGCCGCGTCAGCACTCGTAGTGTGAAACGTAAGGTTTGGGATCTCAACATTTCTCCCACGCTCAACACTCTTAAGTCAGAAGAAAGTGTGTCGAAGCGCGTGCCGCGCGCAAGTGGCGCACACACTTGTTTTTTCTCTTCAAATTATTCTCGTCAAGAATCCTATCTGAATACAGTTGTATTTACTCGGGGTAGACTCTTCTCATCGGACTAGAATATAAAAACAAATCCGTAGTCATTTTTCTCGTGTTCCCGCAGGTTCCGCCGCGTACTCCTTTCCGATTAATTGTATTCGGAAAAGGGGAAAAGACAATACGAACGTTTTGAGGTTTGCCGTTGACCTGTCTACGCATCGCGAGTCGAGAGACTGTCATGGCAAATGTTTAAACGAGGAGCGTTCCGGGAAAAGGTCTCACCAAATGCGCGCAAAGATGGAACCGTTGGTGGATGTCTGCGAGGCTCCACCGTTTTTCGAAATCTGACGAGTTGAGAGCACCAAAATAGATATGTGGGCTAAGGTATATCATAAACATAAGGGCAGGTGCAGATTTAGAACAACTCACTAAACAAGGAAATTACGGACTTCCAAAACGTTGTTACCATATTTATGGCGCACCCTGAAGTGGCATATGGAATGCGTATATGGCTTATA